GGTTCAATACCACAAAAGGAAGGTTGGGATTGATTTTGGGGATGATGGTTAAAACCGTTTAGGAATTGGGGGCCAAAAAGGGGCCCAAAACAAGCATTTTTCTAGTTTCAGGATAATAACTTGTGTATAAGTATTTCGATTGCTCTGAAATTGTACGACAATGTTTAATACCACAAGTAGAAGGTTGGGATTCATTTTAGGGGTTATGGGGCCAAGAGTTTAGGAATTAAGGGCCAAAAACAAGCATTTTTCTCGTTTCCAGACAATAACTTGTGTGTAAGTGTATGGATCTCTCTGTCATTGTACCACAAGATTCCATATCACAAAGGGAAGGCTAGGATTGAGTTTTGGGTTAATTGCCCAAATATGTAGGAATTATGGGCCAAAAAAGGGCCAAAAGCAAGCATTTTTCTAGTTTCCAGACAATAACTTGTGTTTAAGTGTATGGATCTCTCTGAAATTGTACTACAAGGTTCCTTACTACAAAGGAAAGGCTGGGATCAAGTTTTGGGGTTATTTCTCCAAGGGGGGTTTCAAAAAGTTGGGGGGGGGGGGGGGGGGGTGGTTTCCAATTTTTTTAGAGGATTCATATTTTTTTTTCAAAATGTTTCAAATTTTGAATATTTGAAAAGTTTCAAGAAGAAATCTTCAACTGTGACGACGGCAGCGGCGTCAACAATGTATTAGTTTGTGATTAGGTATAGTTCATGGTCAACCACTAGTGGTAGGTCAATGATATTTGGTATGCAGTTGTATTAGCATTGGCACATCTCATTACCATGGAGATTATTTGGCCCTGCCCCCTCAGTCGAGGTCTATTGACTTTGAAACTTTGCTTAGTTTACATGTATTAGTTTGTGATTAGGTCAGTTTATGGGGAACCACTAGTGGTAGGTCAATGATATTTGGTATGCAGTTGTATAAGCATTGGCATATCTCATTTCCACGGAGATTATTTGGCCCTGCCCCCTCATTCATGGTCTATTGACTTTGAAACTTTTGCCTCGTTTTCATGTATTAGTTTGTGATTAGGTCAGTTTAAGGGGAACCTTTAGTGGAAGGTCAATGATAATTGGTATGCAGTTGTATAACCATTAGCACATCTCATTTCCATGGAGAATATTTGGTCCTTACCCCTCAGTCATGGTCTATTGACTTTGAAAATTTTGCTTAATTAACATGTTTTAGATTGTGATTAGGTCAGTTTAAGATGAACCACTAATGTTAAGTCAATGATATTCGGTATTGGCATTTGCAAGTTTCATTTCCATGGAGATTATATAACCCCACCCCCCTAATTATGGTTCATTGACTTTGAAACTTTTACATAGTTTACAAGTTAATGTTTGTGTTTAGGTTTGTTTAAAGGGAACGACTTATGAAAAGTCAATGGCATTTGGTTTGCAGTTGTATTAGCATTGGCACATCTCATTTCCATGGAGATTGTTTAGCCCTGTACCTTCAGACTCAGTCATGGTTCATTGACTTTGAATATTTGCATAACTTACATGTTAAAGTATTGCTATTTTAATTTCGACATTTGCATTATCAAAATAACAAATAGGCGAGACATATCTCTGTGTTAACAGTTTATTGAAGTACTATAAGCAATAGATTAACTATATGTGATGCATGGAATGATTGGAAGGTGTACATGTTTGTCTGGCAGATTTCATTTGACCTTCACCTCAATTTCATGGTTCATTGGTCAATGGTGAAGTTTTCATGGTTTAGTTTGTTTCTTAGAAACTATAAGCCATAGGTCAACTATATTTGGTGTATGGAATGATTGTAAGGTGTGCATGTATTTCTGGTTTGGTTTATCTTACCTTGATCTTAATTTCTCAAATCATGTTAAGTAAATGTGTTATTGTAGTAAAACTTTATATTTAGGACTATCAACATACAATCAATCGTCAGTAAAGCAGGCGAGACATTTAAGCGTGTGCACTCTTGTTACCAATTTTTGGCAAAAACTGTAGTAGATAGAGAGAAACTGAAAACAAGTAAGAATGATCAGCAATACAAGATCAATCAAAAACAGATCTTATGTCATGAATTATATTCTAGTGTCTAATGTTGGAGAGCGGCCCTTGTTGAAAATGTTCATAGATCCAAGTGAGAGACACAGGCTCTTTAGTTTGTTGTTGCCTTTCTGCTGCTGTAGAGAAAATTATTAAGGTATTGAGACATTTACTTTTATTCAGATTTGATATTATAAATCAAAGTACTGAAGTACTGAACATCGGATGACCGCAGGTTCTTGTGGATGGTCAAAAGCACATGTCACAGAAACAGATCACATCGCTATACCTAAAACTGAGGTTAATTTACAGAGATTTTTTTTTCTTATACAAGTTCGTGCTTGGATGATGAATAAATGACAGGAAATTCAATCTCACCGTAATAACTATTATATTGTAGTGATACAAATCAGTATACCTTAGACTATTATACTAATATAATAATAGTTCCAGAGAATACACTGGTTTGTTGTTATATATTATATTAATATTACGGTTGCATGTATATATAATTTTCATCTATTTGTATATCATACTATTCTACTATTATTATAGTGTAATGCAAGTGCATGGTGGACACTCTTCTGTAAAAAAAAATCAAAGTCTTAAAGGCTGTAAAAGCAATTGCTGCCATGTTAATGTTTTGTGGACTTTTATTTTTCATCCATATATATAAGAATTAAACCTGACAGGACAGGAGTGTTGACTAGTGAGAAGCAAGACGGTTTTAACTTTATATCAATATAAGACTTTAGCAGGAAATCATTTAAAATATGTTTTATATTTTACAAGGAGACAACAAGTTTACCAGGCTAAAGTTGGGGTTAATTATACATGTGCTGAAACATATAACTGAAAAAAAATCATTATGGATTATCCCCTGGTAGTGTTTGTAACTGGGCAATAATTTCCTTTATTGATTTAATTTTAACCATTTTCATAATTAATTTAAATTAACCATTCAGTTAAAACATTTCAACTTTCCAGACGCAAATGTTGAAAAACGGGACAGAAATAAAATATCTTACAAGACATAAACATGTAAAAAATAAATATATATTTCAGCTTACTAAAAATATTTTCATAATGTTACTTTGACATCATTTCTTAAAACTAAGTCCCAAACATAATTGCTCAGTTGACATGTGTCATCCTCATGCGATACGAGATAACTATAATTCTGATGCAATCCCGAAAAGGGGGGTCATCACAAACAAACATGACATTAAATTGTCATTATACGAACTAGAACAAACAGCTCTATGTTGCTTTGATATTTATCAATTTTCAGGAAACATGTGAAATAAATTTCAGGTCCATTTCATTATAGTGCCTAACAAGATTGTGTGAGGTAGACGAAATTGACCTTAAAACGATCGTATTGTCTTTTGATGTCCAAAAATAGGCAGATCGGACATATAAGGACTTTATCTAATGACTACATAAATTTGGGATTTATTATTATTATAATATTCTAATGAAACTGAAAATTGTATTTTTTTTAGGATAAACAACAATTTTACCTGGCGTAGCCGTTCATAAATGTTTTTCTGCATTTATCTTCGAAAAATGGCATATTTAATGGAATAGAACGTTAATACAGTAAACTTTCTCTTTTTTCTCCGCAATAGGCTATCAAAAATAATTTATCTAATGTGTATGTGGAAAATTATGTGAAAAGATAAAAAGTGGCAATTGTTACCTTTCATACCTTAAGTTTTGTTCATCTGATTCTGACCAATGCTTATATACTAAATATCTATTTATATGCCGCTATTATTGTTGTTGTTACCAATTATGTAAATCAATTGTATCTGATTTTATGCCCTTAATGGGCCCTGTAATTTGGGAAATAAAAAAAAATCTATTCATTGATAAAACGTAATATGGACTGGTCCAGTGTCCAGTTTGCAGGTCATTTAATTTTCTGCACACATTCATGCACGCTCTGATTTAATCAATATACTCGTACGAAAAAGCATGAACAGTTTGAAGGTAATCTAATAATAACTTAATCCAATCAAATTGCATAAGATCCAATAACAATGTCAAGTCCACATCATAATGAGTAATAGAGGTAAACTGGGTAGGGAGAAAATGACAGATATTTCAAGTTAATATTTATGCAATAACGAATTAAAATTTGTCAACCAAAAGTTTTGCTACAATTTCAAAAACATGTCGTTCTGTATGGGTATAGTTTTCGGATTTTTCATTAGCGTATTTAAGGCTATAAAAAGTTTGGGCTTCAAAAGTTCACACAATTATTGACTTTATACAGAAAATTCGTCCTTGTAAAACATTTAATAGTTCACAAATGATACGCGATTTTAAAGTAAAATTATTTCTTAAAACACTGCAAAAAATTTCATTCATATTGATAAAGTGGTATCGTCATAAAGTGCGTTGAAATGAACAGTGGTATAGCAAACATCGAATTCCCTCACAAAATGTTATCACACACTACAGTAAGGGGAGTCAGTTAAGTTTGTCTATTTTTAGATACTATACAGGTAATCTTTTGACACTACGTATACAACCTGTGTGACCTGTGTAGTGATTTTGATTTTACGATAAATTCATGAATGAACGATAATTTTATGAATGAACATGAGCACCTGACCTCTTTCTTAAACACCTATTAAACATATAAAACCGTATTTAATAAGGAGATAATTCAGTCAAATTTTCAGTACTAAATCAACAACTGAAATGATTCCATTTTTTTATGAAACATCGTACGAAAGGAGAACGGAATCGCAGGTATAAAAATGCACTTTTTTCCCTTGTAATGACCGCGGATCTATAATTTTTATAGATCGGTTGAAATCCCAAAACTAATTTGCATAATGGAAATTTAGGCGATAGCAATACATAGGAATGACCTCAAGGTCATCCTCTGTAAAAACTACAGAATGTTTTAGTACTGTTATATGTATAGCAAATGTGTATTGATAAATAAAATTTTTTATTTAGACTTTCAGAAAGGAATGTAATTGAACTGGTCTCAAAACTTGTGAATTTGAAGTTGATAGATGTTATCTACACATTAGATGGTAAAGAATATTTAACTCATCAGGAGCTGTATAAAGAAATAACAGATGAGTTACTTGTAAATGGGGGTAAGTTTTTATGCCAATGACTTATGTGAACAAGATTCATTAGCATTTTCTGAATTTTCTTAATTTGTCATGCATGCAATTAAAGCAGTAGTGAGAATGGTTATAGTTTTAACACTTCTTAGAAGTTCTAGTATACCTTTATGTCTTATAGTCACTTATTTCCTTAGTTAGCTAAAATTTGCATTGTGGCCAAGTGAGCTTTTGCCAACACTTGGTGTCCATTGTCTGTCCAACATCAGGCATCAGTCCATTAACTTTTCACATTTTTCTCTTCTTCTTGAGAACTGCTGTACAGAATAAAACCAAAATTAGTAGAGATGTTTCTTACCATGTCTTTTCTGACTTTTGTTACTTCAGTTTTGTCATTGCTGCCGAGGCCTTTTTTAGGCCAGGTGAGGTATTCTCATCACTTGTGTCAGTCGTTTTGCAATTTGGCTGTTATATTGAAAACTATAATATATAAAGAGAAAATGTAAAAGGCAGAAATGATCACATGGACAAGATCTACAAAAAGTCCATCTGGCTGGAATTAAAGAGCTATTGCCGGTTGAGTGATAATTTTTGTCTTGCCTTGACAAAGTCGTGAAGGGGAGACTTATGGGTACTGTGTTCAGCAGCATCGACAGTTAACAATTTGTTAAAGCTTGTGATAAGGTTCAGTTCAAAGGGAACCGCTAATGACAAGTCAATGATATTTGGTATGCAGTGGAAGTAGCATTGGCAAATATCATTTCATGGAGATTATTGGCCCCCAATGGCCAACACCTCATGCATTGTCTAGTGACTTAGAAACTTTTGCTTAGTTTAGATATTAAAGTTTCTGATTAGGTCAGTTTGAAGGGAACCATTTTGTAGTTGTATCAGCACTAGCACATATCATATTTATGGAGATTAATTGGCCCTGCCCCCTCAGTCATGGTCTATTGATTTTAAAAACTATTGCATAGTTTACATGTTAAAGTTTGTGATTAGGTCAGTTTGAGAGGAACCACTGATGGTTATTCAATAATATTTGGTATGTACCATTAGTTGTATTAATATAAGCACATCTCAATTACATGGACATGAAATATATGACAAGGTTGCTGATTGAATCATAAGTATCTGAAACTACAGTCATAAATGCATCAGATATTAGTTGAATATACCTCATTACAATATTTCTGCAGGCCATCTTTTACTCTGGAAAGAATGATGGTAAGAACTTTAGAAAGATATTAAGTCAAACATCTTGATGTACCAGGTTTATATAAAGTTCTTTATAACGATTTTTGAGAAGTTTAGATATCCAGTATAAAGATTGGAGATTTTCATTGTCCTCTTTGATGACACAGAATGCAAGACATAGGGATTACTATTGAGTGGCGGCGTAAACTACTTTTTTTATATGACTGCAAAAATTAAAAAATTTTTGGTCGTATATTGGTATGACGTTGGCGTCGTCGTCGTCGTTGTCGTCGTCGTCGTCGTCCGAAGACACATTGGTTTTCGCACTCTAACTTTAGTTTAAGTGAATGGATCTCCATGAAATTTTACCATAAGGTTCAATACCACAAAAGGAAGGTTGGGATTGATTTTGGGGGTTATGGTACGAACAGTTAAGGAATTAGGGGCCAAAAAGGGGCCAAAAATAAGCATTTTTGTAACTTCCAGACATAACTTGTGTGTTAGTTTTTGGATCTCTCTGAAATTGTACTACAAGGTACCATACCACAAAGGGAAGGCTGGGATTGATTTTGGGGATAATTGCTTCAAAATTTTAGGAATTAGGGGCCAAAAAGGGGCAAAAAACAAGCATTTTTCTAGTTTCAGGACAATAACTTGTGTGTAAGTATATGGATCTTTATGAAATTGTACCACAAGGTTCCATATCACAAGAGGAAAGCTGGGTTTGAGTTTGGGGGTAATTGCCCTAAATGTTTAGGAATTTGGGGCCAAAAAGGGTCCAAAAAACAAGCATTTTTCTAGTTTCCAGACAATAACTTGTGTTCAAGTGTATGGATCTCTCTGAAATTGTACTGCAAGGTACCATACCACAAAGGAAAGGCTGGGATTGAGTTTGGGGGTGATGAATCATAAGGGGGTTCAAAAAATTTAGGGGAGGGATTTTTTTTTTCTTTAAAATTTTCCATTTTATAAATGGGTTATTTCTGATTTATATATAAAAGCAAATAATAATGATATGGTTTGAATAGGTAAATTAAAAATTTTTAAGTTCTTAGACCACATTCATTCTATGTCAGAAACCTATGCTGTGTCAAATATTTAATCACAATCCAAATTCAGTGCTGTATCAAGCTTGAATGTTGTGTCCATACTTGCCCCAACTGTTCAGGGTTCGACCTCTGTGGTCGTATCAAGCTGCGCCCAGCGGAGCATTTTATTTGTATTTGTATAAAGCTTTATATCTCAGAAGGTAGAAGAGGAGACCTTTATTGATGCTTCATATCTTGTATTACATGATTTATTTCAAGTGACTGGGTGGGGCTTAATCAGTTCGCTAATCATAGATCAGCCTGTTTATAGAAAGGTGTTATGGAATAAACTCATCAAAAGAGTGTCCAGTTATGGTCATTGACCCTGTTAAAATATGTAAACACTATATCTGTATTCCCAAAGTTAATAGTGTACCACATTTCTTGATTTTCCTGTAAAACAGCACGCGTTAGGAACCGGGGACAAGGAGGCAATTGCATGCCCCTTCAAAAGTAGAAGGGGGCAAAACCATTTTCTTCACTTTTTGGCACACAGATAAATAAATAAATAGATGATTTAAGAAGTTTGCTCCTGCAATCATGCAATTACTTCTTTTGTATTGCTGTTTGATGAAACTCGTAGGTGATAAGAAGTCAGTAATAATGATTATAACGGCAACCATTTTTATCACAAACATCTTCAAATAGACTGTCCTTATGCGAATTAAAAGGTAAGCTTCGCCCAATCAGTTGAAAAAAAACTGATAATATGTAGATGCTTTATGTCACAAAAGTTTTCGTCTGTCATATGTCCATTTTCCTTGACCTCATTTTTAAAGGCAGTGCTTTAATGCCTTTCTAGTTGCCGTGTTAATATTTCTTTCCGCGATATCCAACTTATCTACGTGGGGGGTCATTTAGCTCCAAGTAGATCCGGAAAATGTTGATTCTCTCCTCTTCTTATTGTGGTATAAAATGTTTTTTGTCTCATTTCATTTACATTGGGAAATAGAGAAACGATCATTGTGTTTTGTTAGTTTTAAAAACTTTTGATATATTTGTATTTTACATTATAAGCAGTCAACCGATTGACAAACTAGAATTATTTGAATTCCGTGTGGAAAGAGGTCGGGTTAATTTCGAGTGTTATCTGCAATCTAGATGTTTATAAATCATTTCAGTCGTTGATATAATAATTAAAGGTCGACTGAACATGAATTATATTATACAATTTAAAGCGCAATTCTGTTTATGCACGCGAACCCGTCTAACGTTATTGTTATTTCGCAGTTATATAAAGTAGCAAATTATCGTTCCTGAATAGGTGGCGCCGTGGTAGCCTATCCTGTACTTCAACTTCCGGTTTCTGCACTGTGCAACTATTACAGTTGCATTTTTAATTAACGATGCCAAGTACTTGTTGTTGTGTACCTGGATGTCATTTAAGAGGAGGACATGCATTTCCAAATGACTTAAAAAGAAGGAAAAGTTGGATCAACGCCATGGCCCATACGCAGATTGGTCGAGAACACGATGTAATCGTGGAGTCCATCTCAATCAGCTGTTGTTTGCAAGGCACATTTTACTGAAAAAGACTACGTGCAGGAAACTATTCATGGTAAAACTCTATTTTCTTTTTAAAATATATAGTTATATATGTAATCGCCATGCGAATAAACCAAAGTCTGTTTACAACCGCAATTATTGTTTTAGAATAAAAGGGGATGGTTAATTCAAGACGTCATAATTTTTTGGATTACGATTCAATGTGATCTGTTTGAGATTTTTTGGTGCTTGCTACAATTATAATGATTTCTTACAAGAGGTATATCATACTGAGAATTATTTTAGCAGTAATTATGCTTATGTATTAATGACAAGAATGCATAAGCTATGCCTCATAGACTTTCTTGAAAAATATCAATGACAATGTTAACAGGAACAAAACAATGACATGCTCTCATCTATATTATAGTTATTTAGGTACAAACAATGTATGTTTGTTGCATACGTCTCTCATTGTTTGTCCTTTGGATTTACATAACATACATTTTGATGTACATTGAATCAGGCTAACATAGTTTTATCCAGATTGTAATGAATAAATCTAGTTAATATTTTGCCAGGTTACGATCACAAAGGAATTATAGTTATCTCGTACCATTGTAAACTCGTACCAATGTCAACTTGCACCACTAAACAAAAACTCGTTCCAATGCAAACTCGTACCACTGCTAACTCGTACCACGGTAAATTCATACCATTATAAACTCGTACCAACTTATTTAAATGCATTCAAATGGTGTTTAATGATGAATATATACTTTAATTTCACTCAATAACTCTTAAGTCTGAAAAAATGTATATAAATTGAAATTACAATAACCAATTTGTAGCTAATTTTCCTTGTCTAATTGGATAGAGAAAACCGTGGCAGATTGGCTTTGTTGTCTCCCTTGAATAGACTCTTTTTTAAACTTTTACTGACAACTATTTGATTTAATTTTTAATCATTCCAAATCAGTAACATTGAATAGATTTGGGTATTTTTATACGACCGCAAAAATTAAAAATTTTTTGGTCGTATATTGGTATGACGTTGGCGTCGGCGTCGTCCGGCGTCGTCCGAAGACACATTGGTTTTCGCACTCTAACTTTAGTTTAAGTGAATGGATCTCCATGAAATTTTACCATAAGGTTCTATACCACGAAAGGAAGGTTGGGATTGATTTTGGGGGTTATGGTACCAACAGTTAAGGAATTAGGGGCCAAAAAGGGGCCAAAAATAAGCATTTTTGTAACTTC